TTGAGTATAATAAAATGAAATGTTATAGACCACACATTTTTTAAAAGAAGAAACATGACACATATTTTGGGATAATCCAAAAAAAGTTTGAATCAATTGATCGACACTTGATAGAAAAAAATGTATAACGTTTTTAAAATATGAAAATGCGGCGCACACAATTTCGAATTAGCATTTCAATTTTATAAATGACAATTTTTGTTATTTTTCTTTATAATATTTACACATTTTGATAGAATAATTATTTTCTCAATTGACACCACTGACTCTAGATCATGGCTCCGCCACTGCAAACGGTTGAGGTTGACTTTGTGGGAACAATTATATAAAATCGTCCCCAAATATATTATTTTTAGATAAATTATGTATTGAATTTTGAGAAATGATTAATGAATTTACGAGATCGTAAATTTTGGTTATTACTTTTACGTGAACAGTGAAATGCACATGGGCCCACAACGGGAGCGGGGACCACCCGATGTTTCCGGGACCATATATTAAATTCATCCTGGTCTGAATAATATTTATATGGTGGTGGATATTATATTCTTGTTGGGCTATAGAAAATGCATAAAAGTTACTCGTTGATCAAACGATATCCAAGTACCGGTATTGACAATTTATCAGATAACAACCTGTAATAAATTACGTGGACTTCTAAATTAAAGATGGGGCATGCTTATTCATTCAAACGGCCCATAGTGATTGGGAATTTGATATATATTTTATTTGGCCTGATAAAATAAAATATAATTAAAATAGTACGAGAAGTACAACTTTCGTGATCGAATGTACACTTCGGGGCTTAAAGGGGTGACTCCCACATTAGTGGGGACCATCAACCCACGAAATAATACACTCATTAGCAGCCAAAACGACGGCCAACTATTGCTAGGAAGGAGAGAGAAGGAGACTTGAGGTGATAGGCATCTTATGGAGACATGGGTGAGCTTTTCTCTTCTCTGTCATTTGATGAATGGGCCAAAAAGAGAGGAAATCCCTGCAACTTTCATAGAAGGTTGAGCTCAACAAAGGAGAGTCCCAAGGAGAACGAAGAAGAGAGAAAATAAGAGGAAAAAACCTTGGAAATAAAGGTGAGAAACTCTTTAGCAACTTTTCTTCTCTAATTTATTTCTCATATGACTTATACATCATATGGAGGACCCCTAAGATTGTTCTACATGTTTAGAAGTATAGAATGAGGAGTTGGGAGATGGTTCTAAGTCCAAGAACAGACTTAGAAACCAAAGTAACTGGTTTGTCGGAAAATAACCTTTTAGAGGTTATTGGTATTAAAATGAGTTTTGGGAGGTTAAAACCTTGTTAGGAACTTGTCTAAGGTGTTATTAGTGCTTTCATAGGGTTGGAAAAGTCACCAGAATTGTCGTCAGAGTTAACAAAGTTCGCCGGAGTTTCGCTGTAGTTCAACCGAGGAGGGTGGAACTTCTTAAAGCTTGTTCAAGGTTAGTAGACAGCTTAATGTCTTATAACTCATGGGTTAAATGTGAGTGATGGATAGTCTACCCGGGGGGTATCCTATCCGAGGGGTTATTGCGGGAATAACTAGAGAGAAGTCAGAGTAAATAGGAGGAGAGAGAGTCGATTTTATTAAATGAACTCAGCGTGTGGAGTTGAGATGTAGATTCTGTCGATTACAAGGAGAAATGGGCTGCTATTTATAGCAGCAATAAATGCGATGAGGGTACACGTGTCAGTAATCCAACGGCCGAAGGGTCACATCAGCCTGGTGGCACCGGCAGTGGTACGTTCACCGCATTGAATGCGGTTGGCGGATGTGACGTGGCATTAAATGCGGTGGTTGGCTGTCCCCAAAAGGAATCTTCGATGATTGAGCATGTTTGGCCGAAGGCTTCTTGTGTAGCCGAGGGCTCCGTGTAACCAAGGACCCCTGTGTAGCCGAAGGCCCCGAGTGGCAGAGGGCTAAGTTCAGCCGAAGGCTCCCCTGATGCCGAGGGCTTGGTAATGCCGAAGGCTCATGTTTTTCGCCGTTTTCTCCCAGTGGCTTCGTATGTCAGAGAGGGCTACTTCGTGAGTTTCTGGAGCCTTCGGCCAAGGAGGCCGAAGGCACCCCAGTATGTATTTCGGGCTATTTTGGGGCTTGGGCCGCTGCTTTTGGGCCTGAGTTGTTCTCTGGGCTCATTGGATATGTGTAGCAGAAGTAGGAGTCTATGGGCCGGGGGTTCTTGGGCCATATACTCCATCAGGAGTCCCTCACTCCTTTTGCCGAAAGGTACTTGAGGGAAAAGGAGTAGTTGTGTTGATTCTCCCGGAGGCTGCATCATTTCGTTGGGTGCCTTTGTTGGAGAATTCGTCTTCTGCTGATTGCCGAAGGCTTCCCTCAGTCCCTCACATGTCGAGGGTTTTCTGAAGGAAGTATAATACTTGTATGAATGCCGGAGCCTCTTCTGAGTCCCTCACATGTCGAGGGTTTTCTGAGGGAAACTTTTGATACTTTATTTCGCTATTGTCGAAGGGTACACTGGGTCACGTGCCCGAGGGGTTATGCCTTTGCCCCGGGGCCGTGTGCGTTACTTGTGGGTTTCTGTATGAAGAAGTTTTTGTTCCGTAAGATTCCCGAGGGGTGTATCCCAGTCCCCCACTCCTTTAGGCCGAAGGCAAGTTCGGGCTGAAGGAGTTATAGTGTGTTGTTGGGTTCTCCGAGGGGTTAGCCGAAAGCTTATACTATTATCTGCTCGAAGCCTCTCGCAGGTGGTGGCCGGGGGCTACCACCCAATATACGCGTCGAGGAGTGGCAACATTGACAAGTGAAGGCTCTTGTTGCTGCCGGCTCGAAGGCGTTATGTTGGAATTCATTGGCTGAAGGTTGTGGTGAGTGATAGCCGGAGGCTATCATTCGAGGGCACCCCAATGTTGCCGAAATATAGTCGTTGTAATATAGCCGTTGGAAGAGGGGTTGACGTGGCGCGTTCCCGTTGGTTGAAAGGGGGCGGGTGTCACCCATAGGCTGAGGCGGCGGCCCGTAATGATGGGCTTTTCAAATCGAAGCCCAACTCTCGAGGCCCAGTTGCCTATAAATACCCTGAGCCTGAGCTCATTTGTCCTTGCGCGATTTTAGAGAGATAGCGGAGCTCTGCCAATTTTTCTAGAGAGAGAAAGTATTCCCTTCGGACAAGGTCCATCCCCGAGGTTAGTTCTTCCATCTGTTGAAACACTTAGCATATTTTTCCTTCCTCCCCCTTAGTCCAGTGTTAGAGTGCCCTTAGGACACCCTTAGCCTTCATCTCTTCCATATTACCGAGGAATGTCGTCGGCTAGCGATTCTCAAGACATCTCCAGGGAGGCTTCGGTGGCATCGGAGAGCCAGTCCGAGGTAGAATCCTCCAGCGTGCAGTCTTCGGATAATAACGACTCTGTTTTTGCCGAGGAGGTCCAAGACACCCTCAGGATTGAGGCCGAGGCCGAGGAATTCGAACAGGTAGCAGAAGATGAGGAGCTGGCCCTCGCTGTTCAGACTGCCGAGGAGGAGGAAGAAAAGGAAAGGCTGAAGGTGACCGTGGCTGTCTTGTCGGCGCGCAATGATGCAGAGGCCAGCTGTTCGCAGCCCCTGAATCCGGAACCTCTCAGCGTGGCTCCGGGTAAGAGGAAGAAGAAGCTGAGGGCGGCCCCGAAGAAGAAGAAGAAGGCTGCCGATGCTGGGCAGCCGGTTGGCATCCCCGAAGGCCACTCGTATCTTAACACAGCAGCCCTTGACGTAAAGACGAAGGCCGGGGAGGCTGAGTACCTCAAGACCCAGCTTTTAGTGGGGCCCTCGGCGCAAGTAGTAGAGCCGGGGCCTAACGACGTGTTGCTGCATCCTCCGGAGGGTTGCTTCGCCGTGCATATTCTCTCGGTGGAATTGGGGCTTCGCTTCCCCCTCCACTGGTTTGTTTTGGAGTACTTGCGTTTCGTGAAGCTGGCTCCCTGCCAACTGACGCCAAATAGCCACTCCTATTTGGCGGGCTTCCTGTCCCCGTGTCTCAGCCGGGGGGTTACCCCCACATTGGACTTATTCTTCCAATCCTTCAACCTCTGCCGGGGGGGTCATTCGCACGCGGGAGGCTTCGGAGGTCCCTTCCTCCCATAAGAATTGGAAAGACCGCTTCTGCTATATAAGGATGGCGGAGAATCCTTTTTCCGTCCCCCTCCGAGATCATTTCCGGAGGCACCCGAAGGTGGGAAATGCTGCCCTTGCCAAGGAGGGGAAAAAGCTGACGGCCAAACCGGAGGGCTCAGATAAGGTGATGAAGATAAAGGAAGCTACCCTCTCGGATGAGTTATACCGCCTTGGTTTTCGGCGATACCGTCTTGCCGGGGAGAAGGACGAAAGATATCCCCTCGTTGACAGGGGCTACCAAGGCGCCGGAGGTTGTTGCCGAGGGCCCACATTTTTAGTACTCAGAAGTTTTTCTATTCCCATGATTGCCACTGTCTAACATTTATTTCCCTCCCTTTCAGGTCAAGCAATGGACGTCAAGGCCTATGCCGCATTGAAGAAGAAGGCGTCGAAGGCGTCAAAGAAGAAGGATGGGCCGTCCCAGCAGAAGCCAGTGGACGAGTTTTTCAAGAAGGGCGAGGCCCCCCGGACCCAAGGACGTGAGGAGCCTTCGGAGAATATGGCTCCCGTCGTTACCGGTGCTAACGCCGGTAGCTCCCAAGCAGAGGAGCTGAAAAGGAAGCGGTCCGGGAAGGGCGTAGTGCTCCCGGAGAAAAAACTGAAGAAAGTGGAGATCGCCCCCGGGAAAGATGCTCCCTTGGTGGTTGTGGATGACCAGCCTTCTTCCCCCGAGCCCCACATCGGGTGGGTGACCACCCCGCGCTCCCCTGCGGATCCGGAGACAATATGGCCCCGGGAGGAGGTTCATTTTCCCCTCAAGAAGGGGAACGCCGTCATGCTTGGGTCTCTCGACCCTTTGGAGTTTATGAGGGGGGTCACCCCTACAAAGGACAGGCTTGTGCTGTCCAAGTACGAGGATGATGTCCTCGACTGCAGGATCATGCAAGCTTCTGTCACCGTAAGTTCCGTCGTCCCCTTTTTTTTTACTCAATTGATTTGCCTTGGCATTCTTCCTTTGCTCATCTTGACCGTCGGTATATTTTATGTGATTGCAGGCTACCATGGCCCTCGGAGAGCAACTCCGGAGGGTGGACAGATTGCGTGTGCAGAAGGCGCAAGCTGACCTCGCCTTGAAGAAGGCGGTTGAGGAGAATGCCTCCTTCCGGAAGAAGATGACGGAGATGGAGGCAGCCCTCCGGGCGGCAGAGGAGGGTATGGAGCAGAGGCTGAAGGAGGCGCAGGCAAAGGGTAAAACCACTGCCGAGGAAGCTGCGAGTGCTGCCGCCAAGCTCGCCGCCGAAGCTGCCGAGGTGGCAAAGAAGGAGGCTATTGCCGAGGCTGGGAAGGCTGCAGTGGATTCCTTCGTCACCGAGGGGTGGAAGGCCGAGGGCCGGAAGCAATGGCTAGCCTCGGTCATTGAGCAATCTGTGGACGGTTGGGTGGCGGGCCCCGGGGCTGAATGGTTGGCCCGGAAGGGTAAAGACTACTACGATGGCGGAGAGTTTTTTACTCAATGCCTCGTGTACCGAAGGCTGGCCCGCCACCTGAAGATCGAGGCGAAAGAGTTTGACCCCGCATCCTACGGCCTACCCCCTCTGCAGCCGGATGTCAGGGTACCCCTCCCCCCGGACGAAGAGAGGCCAGACCTCGAGGATTCTGAGCTGCTAATGGAGGCCGGAGATGCCGAGGAGGAGGCTGGGGACGATGCTACCTCCAAGCTGAAAGAGATTGTTGCCGAGGATGTCCCAAATCAAAATCTGTAATAGTTCGTAGTTTCTCGGCCTCGGCCATGTTTTTGTAATTGAAATACGTTTTAATCACTTTTCTTGTGGAATGAATGATCGCCTTCGGGCTTTTGCGAATGAATGCTTCCTTCATTTTGAACTTGAATGTATGCCCCTGTTTCTCTTCGTGTTTGTGTATGAATGCTTTTCTTCACTTGGATGAATGTATTTTTTCCCGGAGGCCATAAGTTTGTGGACTTAGAAATTTTTCTAAGTGTAACTCCCTGCTAGCCCCCGGTTGTAGAGTAGAATCGCCGGGGGGTCGTTGTTGTGGACTTGGAAAACTTTCCAAGTGTGAACCCAATCATGAGCCCCCAGTCGTATATTGAGGTTGCCGGGGGCTTGTCGTTGTGGACTTAGAAATTTTTCTAAGCAAAACTATTGTCATGAGCCCTCTGCGGTAGCGTAGGACCATCGGGGGGCTTGAAGCTGTGGACCTAGAAAATTTTCTAAGTAAGACCCCAGAATATGTCCTCGATGACTAGGCCCTCGGCAGTGACGAGCCTCCAATTGTAGTGTAGCTTTAGGCCATCGCCAAGTAGTTTAGGGGCCATCGGCAATGAGTGTGTAGTTGAAGAATTGCCCCCCCGAAGGGTCCACATTTGTGGACTTAGTCATTTTTTCACGAAGTTTCAATAGATGCTGTAGGGAACCTTCGAGTGTGAGGTGTGCATGGCCGTCGGGGGATAGCATAAAATCAGGACCCCTCGGGTGCAATGTGGGATTACCGGGGGGTCGTTGTTGTTTTTTAGACTTAGTCAAATCTCCCCCAGATTTTCAATAGGCATTGTAGTGAGCCCTCAGATGAAGGAGTTTGATGAATCTCCTGCCGTTGTAGGTCTCATGAACTTGTTCCACCGATCCGAGGGCTTGCCTTCGAATGTGAGATAGACTAGCTTCATCGTGTAGTAAGCTTTTGAAAAGGGAGAGCCTTCGGCATATCATTTGCCGCTTAGTCTCATTGAAAATTTGGACTTAGCCAAGTTTTGGTGAAGTTCTGTTGGTAAGGCCTCTTCGTGGGCTTCCGGGGGAACTGTTTGTACTCCAAGGCTTCATGTAATGAAGCCTTCGGCTATGTAGTCAGATGACTTGTTGTTGCAAGATTTTCTTGTACCTTTGTAGGAGCCTTCGGGAATGTATATCCGAAGCGTTGAGCCTCCGGGGAGAATAGTATCCGGGGAGTTCCTTCCCCCCTACACATCTTTTTTTTTTTTTTTTTTTTTTTTTTTGATGGTGTAGGAGAGGCATCTAGAAACTTGGTTTCTAGGAAAGGCTTGGCCTATATGGGAGGCAACGGAACAAACCGTTGGCTCCCCCTTCGGGAATGACCTTCCGATATCCCGAAGGGTTTGAGGGTCGTTTCCTCGGCCCGAGACATCGTCTGTTGCCTGCTTCCCCTTGGGAGATAGCACGGAAAGCGCCTCGGTTTTGAAAGTCGTCCCCTCAGCCCGAGACATGGTCTGTTGCCTGCTTCCCCTTGGGGGATAGCGCGGGGAGCGTTTCGTTTGTGGAAGTCGAATCCTGGGCCCGGGACATGGTCCGTTGCCTGCCTCCCCTTGGGGGATGGCGCGGAAAGCGTTCCTGGGAAGGGTTTTATTTGCGTGTGGAACACAAATAGCCGGGGGCACTTGCTACCAGCCGGAGCCGAGGGGTGTTGTACCCCCCGGTTTTTTTTTTTTTTTTTTTAGGAGAGTATGTAAAAGTATGCATAATGTATGCATGGTTGCGTCCTCGTGGGGTACGGCTTAGTGAGAAAACACTTGGTGTTTTCAAAGAGTGATGGGGGTGACCCATACTCTTGGTACTTGGTACCTAAATTGTTGTTCCCCTTCCTGAGAGGAAGAGGCCTCGGGCCTATTTTGGTGAAGAGATGAGGGCTTGGCCACTCATTTGTAGGAGAGAAAGGGGGCCTTGGGCCGCTTGTACAATATGTAGGTGATGAAGGCTTGACCTTTTGATTATCCTTCAAAAACAGATGGGGCCTTGGGCCATTGATATTTACACTTGTTGAGGATGAGGGCTTGGCCGCTCATTGATAAAACCTTACTAGGTGGTGCACATTCCAATGTCTGGGAATCTCTGTCCCATTAGGACGTTTTAATTTGTATGTCCCCGGTTTGATGATGGCTGAGACAATGTAAGGGCCTTCAAACTTGGGCGCCATCTTCCCTCCTTCGGTGGGTAGACTGGCCTCCCTTCGTCGGAGGACGTAGTCACCCACCTGAAATTCCCGGGAGCGGACCTTGGCGTCGATGTAGCCTTTGACTTGTCTCCTATAGTTTTCGGCCCTGAGGAAAGCTTGCTCTCGGCGTTCTGAGATGAGATGAAGGTCGAGGGCCATGTTGGCGTCGTTGACGTCGGGCTCATATTGTTCCACCCTTCGGGTGGGCAGAGTCACCTCTGTTGGAGCCTTAGCCTCAAAGCCATAGCATAGGGAGAAGGGTGTTTCGCCTGTTGCGCGCCGAGGGGTAGTGCGATAGGCCCATAAGATGTTGTGTAGCTCTTCTACCCAGCCTCCCCCTTCGGCTTCCAGCTTCTTCTTCAACCCTTCAAGTAGGGTTCGGTTGGCGTTCTCTACTTGCCCGTTGCCTTGGGGGTAGGCAACGGATGAAAAGGTGTGTTTGATGCCCCATGCCTCCAGGAGGGCACAGAAGGGGGCTGCCTCGAATTGAGTCCCATTGTCGGAGATGATTTGTTGGGGGACGCCAAACCTGGTGAGGATATTTTTGAGAACAAAGTGGCGGCACCGGGCTTCAGTAATGCTGGCTAGGGGCTCGGCTTCTACCCATTTGGTGAAGTAGTCAATGGCCACGATGATGTACCTGTTGTTGGAGGTACCCCTCGGCAGAGGGCCCACAAGGTCGATACCCCATCTGGAGAAGGGTATGGCGGTGCTGATGGGGGCGTAGTTGACCGCGGGCCTGCCGGGGGCCTTCTGAAAGTGTTGGCATGCGGTGCACCTTCGGGCTAGATCAGCACAATCTCTAGCCATCGTGGGCCAGAAGTAGCCTTGAACAATGAGCCTTCGGGACATGGAGAAGGGCCCCTGGTGAGCTGAGCAAGTGCCGCTGTGCACTTCCTCCATAGCGACTTCGGCTTCGTCTTGATGAAGGCACCGAAGGAGGGTGCCGTTGTAAGATCTCTTGTAAAGCCTCCCGTTTTCAATGGTGTAGCTGGGAGCCCTCAGCTTTGCTAACTTGGCGCTGGCCTCGTCTCGGGGCAATTGCCCTTTGGTGATGAAGGTGATGATGTCGGAGATCCAATCCTCCGGCCTTAGGTTGACGTTCATAACGGGGCTCGCGTGGATGCTTGAGAGGCTGAGTTACTCAACTCTTGCAATTTTTGAGAGGTGCTCGGGGGATTCATCCGAGAGCTTGGACAGAATATCGGCCTCGGAGTTTTGAGCCCTCGGTATTTGGGTAAGAGAATGTGCCTCAAATACCTTGAGCAATTCCTTAGCGGCCTCCTTGTATTGTTTCATCCTTCCTTCCTTGGCTTCGTACTCCCCGGAAATTTGACCCACAACAAGCTTGGAGTCACACTTGACGTGGATCATCTTGGCCTTCAGATTTGCTGCCAGCCGAAGGCCACATAGGAGGGCTTCGTACTCGGCCTCGTTGTTGGAGACTTTGAAGGAGAAGCGGATGGCATAATAGGCACGGAATCCTTCGGGTGTGATCAGAACTACTCCCCCTCCGCATGCTTTGGTGGCCGAGGAGCCATCGGTATAGAGTGTCCACCACTCATCGAGGGGTGCCGAAGGCTCCTCGTCTGTTGTTGATCTTGCGGTGCATTCCGTTACGAAGTCTGCCAGGGCTTGGCCCTTAATGGCCGGCCTCGGACGGATATCTATGTTGTATTGGCTGAGGAAGACGGCCCATTTCACCATGCGGGAGGAACTTGTGGGGCTCCTCATGAGGGCGCCGAGGGGTTGATGAGTGAGCACCTGGACCGGGTGAGCTTGAAAGTAGTGGCCCAGCTTCTTGACGGTCCAAACGATGGCTAGCATCGTCTTCTCGACGGGAGAATACCTGAGTTCGGCCTCCCGGAGGGTTTTGCTGACGTAGAAGATGGCATGTTGGACGTCGTCCTCCTCTCGGATCAGCACCGAGCTGATAGCCGAAGGGCTAACACCAAGATATAAGTATAAAGTCTCCCCCACCTTTGGTTTGGAGAGCACTGGGGGAGAAGAGAGGTATTTCTTGAGTTCATCAAAGGCCTCTTGACATTCAGACGTCCATTGAAAACCCGCTGTCTTCCTCATGATTTGGAAGAAGGGGAGGGCCCTCTCGGCTGACTTGGAGAGGAAACGGTTGAGGGCTGCCAGGCGACCCGTCAACCGCTGAACTTCTTTGACGTTGCGTGGGGGCTCCATGCTGATGATGGCCTGAATTTTCTCGGGATTGGCCTCGATACCCCTTCGGCTGACCATGTAGCCTAAGAACTTCCCTCCCTGCACACCGAAGGTGCACTTCTTTGGATTTAGCCGGAGGTTGAATTTTTGCATGATGGCAAAAATCTCCCGGAGGTCGTCGGCGTGAGTGCTTGCCTTCTTGCT